GTTAGGATGAAAATATGGACCAACGTTCACTTCGGAGCTGCACTTGTTTGTCAGCTGTGACCACGGGATAGCTATAGATATACGAGCTTAGCAAAAATCAGCTGAACACATTTTGTGAGACTCAGTTGGTGTTATAAAGTTTACAATAAAGAGTAGCGAATATTTTATTATTCTTTATAAATTGTGAGCTACATATATATCAGTATGACTTAGAATAAACTTATGTACATATGTATAAATATGCATGTATACATATTTACATCTATGCACATGTAATTGTGTGTGTTTATACTGTATATACACATTTTTTTTCAGAGAGCTGACTGCTAAGCGTTACCAGCACACCACTGTTTCTGACCTTCCTGCTACCCCAGGGCCCTCCTCAGGCCCTTACCTTTGTGACACTAACAGACTGTCCCTTCCCATCCTTCACTTGCCAAAGCTGCAAAGCTCAGAGGTGTGGAAAGAGGTCCCTCCACCTCCTTCGCCCCTTCTGCTTTGTTTCACTAGGGAAAACTGTCTTCAGTCTATTTCTCCTCACACCCATCCTGGCTCAAATCCCAGTTTCCACACAGCAGCCCTGAAAAAGTCAATCATGGTGCCCTGGAAATTCTATACCCAGGCGGGGCACTGAGCCAGAGCCCTGCCTGCCCACTCTTGCCCTGAGACCCTCACAGCTAGATGTCAGCTTTGGCTGTGACTGCTGGCACACCTGGCCTTCCAGGATGTCAGGCAATCATTCCCAGCCCCGTCAAGGACTGAAGTGAGACAGAGCAGTGAGTGAGCCACAGAGATGGGTGTGGTGAGGGTGAGTGGTGTTCAGAGAGCTGGGGACACAGCTCTGTAGGTTTCTTATCCCCACCATCATCAAAAACACCAAGATAGCCTGTGGCAGTTCTGTCCTGAACATGGCACAAGAAAACATTGCACCTCCCAGGCTCTGCCTGCCAGGGATGCCTGGAGGAAACAACATGCCAACTGAGACTACTGAAAGTTGGCAATTGGGGGTCAAACTAGCACTCTTGTTTAAAGTAAACCACGAGCTTAGCAGCACCTACATGTCAGGAGCAAGGCATGGCTTTAGGAGGAGATTCCAAGGGCTGGGTTCAGGGAAAAGTGCAGGGCAAAAGCTTGATTCTGGTTTCAAGAGACTGAGAAGGAAGCTGTGGTGGGCTCTAAACATCTGGGTGAGCTCCCTGGAGGACACAAAGTTTTCAAAACATGAACTCAAATACATAAGTCTGAGATACAAGATGAAGAAATGAGGTGACAAGCACTCTTGCTGCTGGGAAATCAAATTAGGATCAGAGTCTCTAGTGAACCCCTGAAAATTACTCATGGTTTCCTAGGTAGTTCTCATTGTCTTAATAGCAGTAATAATAATGACAATATAATAATAGCTAACATTTATTATGGACCTGGCATGCTATGTCTCAACCACAACACTGCCGGCAGGTAGTTATTATTATTGTTATTATCTTCGTTTTTGCAGAAGAGGTGCTGAGACAGGAACTGCGCTAAATCAGTTCCCACTAATCTGGAGCTACGGGAATGGAGAAAGCTAAGTGTGGACAACTACTTTCATCTAAGGGACTGAATTTATTCTGAAAGTGTCCTTCCAGTTGTTCAATTTTCCCCTTCTTTTATGAAATGATGAAGGCAGTAGCTGGAAACGGTTAATTTTTTAATGTTAATGTCCAATTTTAACAAAATAAAAGGCTGGCAGCCCTGGCATCTGATTTGAAACTCTCTCCATGTCCCACCCTATCAGCTTGGAGCCTGGGGAATTGCTCGGTGCTCACCCAACAACTCTCTCAGCAGGGACATTTACCCTGAGGCACCTGTGCTGCTGAGGAACTATGAAGGATGCTCAAAGGGTGGTACCAACTTGCCTCCCACCAAGTTGGGAAGATGCTCTCCATTCCCCATGACCGTGGACGAAGGGGTCTCAGAGAGCTCTGGGCCTGGGCAGACTTGCCAGCTGAGGACTTACAGAGGGAATATCCGGTCTTTCTGGCTTCAGAGGGTGAGGTGTCCTCACCAACCCTCTATCTCAAACCTGCCTGAGCTCTTATTCAGCCCCTTTCCCCATTCCTCTACCTGCTTGGCTGGGGGAGAAAGTCAACAGGAATCTTCCCACAACCCATCCACTCCTCAAGCAGTCAAAGCCATGATTCATCCACCTTTTATTTGTTTTGAGGATTTGCCATGGCAACCTCTCTATTGATTTGGCTGGATTCCAGGACCATCAAAGATCTATTCAAATCAGAAAAAATCAGGCCCCAGTAAAGGGAGCCAGTTCCTAGAAGACGGATGTGTTCTACTTGTAAACGAATCCTTGGATCACCTATGCTTCTGAATGATCTGCCTTGTGGCCTTGCCTTCATTCTTGGATGGCTTTTTCTCTCTTCCACCAGCACTGGGGATGGACAGTGATTATATTCCAGGCTAGACTGGGAGGAACAAGGAATTGCTAAGACAGAGAAAGGGAAGATTTGGACTTGAAAGATATCTTCTCTCATCGAGCTGCGGTGATGATAAGGCCTCAGTTGAATAAGGGAGAGTTCGAGAACTGGGGTCAGGCTTCATGATCTGAGAAGCTCCATCCCTGAGAAAGCGAATGGGTGAGTGAGGGAGATGAGAAACACTCTTTATCCCTGGGCAAGGTAGCTCATATGTGACAGGGAGTCAAGGGAGGCGACAGACACAAAGCAGAATTTTTCCAAGGCCCGGTTGTGAGACACAAGGACTCTAGAATCTCCTCAGAAGGTGAAAAGTGGAGATTCCACAGTCAGGGTGGCTGCAGAGGTGGCTGGACCGGCCACCACCCAATGTCTAGAGAAAGGACAGTGCCCAGAGAGCCCATTTGCATGACAGAGGCTATGTCCTTCATGCTTCTCCAGATTCTTCTTGCTGGTCTAAAATTTCATTTTGATACTTCTGCTCCCAGAACCCAGCCAGTTTCTCAGGTTACACTGCCATGCCAGCCTGTTTCAGCCCCACTTTCTCCAAAAGTACCCCTAGCCCCACACTGGCACCACTCCCCAGCCACCTCCTTGCAGCCTCCATCCTGCTCCCCGGCCAGGGCCAATACCACCTTCTTCTTTTTTCTCTTTTGTTAATCCTCACCTGAGGATATGTTTTTAGAGAGTAGAAGGGAAGGTTGGAGAGGGAGAGAGACAGAAACACCCATGTGAGAGAGACACATTGATTGGTTGCCTCTGGGGCTGGGGAACACACCCACAATCCAGTTACGTGCCCTTGACTGGGAATCAGACCTGAGACACTTTGTTGTGTGGCCTTGATGCTCTACCCATGAGCCACACTGAGCAGGGCCCAACACCAACTTCTTGATTTAGGTGCTGCCCTGATGCCTCCACCATTGAGGGGATTGGCTTTTATGACTGACAGGTGACAATAGGGCCACAGCCTCTGCAGGTAGCCTGTGGTAGGGAGACCTGAGATGCGTTACTTGGCAACCAGGAAAGAAGGGAATGCAGCCCAGTGCCCAGGAATCAGAGACCTCAGGCCTCAGATGACAGAATATGATGGATGGAAGTCCCACCAGATAATGGGCAGAGAGCCCGCAGTGTGTCAGGGCCGGTGGAAAGGCACAGCCGCTGGGTGGGCAGAGACAGATGGCTCGCAGACCCCGAAGCAAGCAGCAATGTGGAAAGCACGTGGGCTTTGGAGAAAAAGACCTCACGGAATCCTGGCTCCATGTACTGGCTCTTTGGTCCTGGATTTAGTATGTTTCTGTTTTAGGAATAACAACATCCTCCTCAGAGAGGTGGCACGGGTGCCGTGCCCAGCCGAGGGAGATTCTGGTCCATAGTAGGTGCTCCATAAACTCAGTTTCTGTTCCCTCCCCTCACACTCCTGCACGGTACTCTGGGCCTGGAGTGTAGGAGAGGATCACAGAGAGGAGGCCTGCCTGACCCCCAGCTCACTCCACCCAGGTAAGCCTCAGATTCCAAAAGCTCCTTCCCTATCTTAGCTTTCCAGCAGAGAGGCTCAGAGTACGGGGTCCCCACCAGCTCTACCCCTCTTGGGCATCCCCCACCACATAGCCAAGCCTCTGAGCAGAAGGCAAAGGGTTGAACAAATGCAGATACCTGTCTGCCCAGCCCCCTTCCTCCCTCTAAGAAAGACCCAGTTCTCAGAAAGAGTCCATGGTCCCTGTTAGGAGCAGGACCAATTCTGTCATTGGACACAAACCAGGTGGCACACACACCTTTCCCATGTTTCTCCTTGTTCTCTCCCAGCCCCCCCCCCCTTTCTCCTCCCAA